CATTCATTCAACAAATATTTGATAACTAGTCCCAGTGTGCCCAGCACAGTTCTAGAAGCTAGGGATCTAGCAGTGAACAAAACGGAGAAAAGCTCCTGCCCTCCTGGGGACTCACATTCTACTGGGTATAGAAAGACAACCAACAAAATTCATCAATGTGTCAGGAAGGATAAAAGGTAAGGCGGAGGAGGGCAACAGGGAGAACTGTGAACAGGAGGCTGCCGTGTTGAACAGGATGGTCAGGGAAGGTGACCTGTGAAGACGGGAGAGGTGAGGGAGTGCTCCAGGGGGCTACCTGGAAAAGACGGTTCCAGGCTACAGCAAAGGCAAAGGGCCCGGCCAGCATGCTCCAGCATGCTCGAGGAGAGCCAGCGTGACTGCGGAAAAGGAGAGTAGGAGGAGCTGGAGTCACCACAGGATGTCCCCGCGTCTAGCTGAGATGGGGGACGCCGGGTCGGAGGCGCAGGAGCGGGTGGGCTGTGGGCGACCAGCCGCAGGGACGAAGCCGGGGAGCCGGTGGGTTTCCAGCCGCGCCGTCGTCAGCGTCCGGGGGCTAACGCCTTGCTCCCACTTCGCCCGCCACTCGCTGGAGCAGCCTCTGAGGACCCAGAGCGGCGTCCCGGGGCCGGGTGGGTCACGTGGCCGCGAGCGGGCGCCCCCTGGCGCGAGGAGGGGAGCGGCGGCGGCGGCGGCGGCGGGATGGCGGCGGCGGCCGGAGCGCGGGAAAGCGGGGAACCGAGCCAGCCGGGCCAGCCGGGCCGCCGGGCCCTGTACTTCTGCGGGAGCGTCCGCGGCGGGCGCGAGGACCGGGCGCTGTACGGACGGATCGTGTCTCGGCTGCGGCGCTTCGGGGCGGTGCTCACTGAGCACGTGGCGGCCGCCGAACTGGGAGCGCGCGGTGAGGCGGGCGGCGGGGCGCGGTGAGGCAGGCGGGTCCCGCCCGGGTACCGAGATTGCACAACCCCCTCTACCCCCGCCTCGGCGGCGGCCGTCCCATAGCCGGCCGCGCGTCCCCCTGGCCCAGAGCCCTTCCCCCCCAACCCCCGCCCAGCCGGGAAAGGGAGCCGGGACTCGGACAGCTGGGGTCCCAGTGAGCTTTCGGGCGGGAGCCCGGTTTCCGCATTCAGTTCTCTTGACTTGAGTCATTCCTGGAGAACTTTCTTCCCTTCTTTCCAGGGACGGAGCAGGGAGGAGCAGAATGGAAATGAACGGGGCTGCGGCAGCCCCGCTTCACCTGCCCGCACCTGCTCCCCCACCTAAGACAAAGCTTATCCTCCTGCTTCCCCCTTGGCGGTCAAGGTATCCGCCCTCTCTTGGACCCCACGGACCCGACCACCATCTCTCTCACGCCCTCTCATCAGGCTGTTAACTTCCTGGCTGCTGGGTCTTTCTAAAGCATGGTTTGTTTGTTTGTTTGTTTGTTTGTTTTTAAAGATTTTATTTATTTATTTGACAGAGATCACAAGTAGGCAGAGAGGCAGGCAGAGAGAGAGAGGTGGAGGCAGGCTCCCTGAGGAGCAGAGAGCCCGATGCGGGGCTCGATCCCAGGACTCTGGGATCATGACCTGAGCTGATGGCAGAGGCTTAACCCACTGAGCCACCCAGGCGCCCCCTAAAGCGTGGTTTTGATCAGTTTTGGTCTGGAATCTCCGCGACTCTTCTAGTTTGGAAAGTTGTGCCTAGAACTCTCGTGCTTCTGCTCGGAAAACCTTGGAAGTGCTTTCCCCTCTGCAGACCCAGGAGCGGATCCAGGATTTGTGGGATCTAATGCAATTTTGGAGAACTCTTTTAAAAAGGTGTGATGTAGTTTCTGGAATGTTGGTGAGGTTGGAGTCCAGAGCCCCCAGCCAAGAAAGAATTCTTGAAATGTCTCTGGTGCAACAAGGTGATTTTATTAGAGCGCAGGGACAGGACCGGTGGACAGAAAGAGCTGCTGCCCTGGGGTTGTGAGGAATGGCCAATTATAGACTTGAGAGTTGGGGAAGGTAAGGAAAAAGGAAGGTGTCCAAGAGGACTTTGACATGCTGAGGAAGATGCTGAAGCCGTTGTCAGGCTAAGGTGGTTTTCCCCTGTAGCAGAGCATTAAGACTGTTGGGAGCTTCCTGGAGGAACGTTATACTCTGCCTGCCTCAGTTACTTGCCAGTGGGCTGCAGGTTATAAGGACATTTAATTTTTACCTACATTTCCTTTACCTTTGTCTCCCACCTGGCTGTGGAGGGGAGCGTGCTGCTGGGGCTCCAGAAAATTGAGTTATGGGTCTCCGGAAGCTAAGTTATTGATTCAAATGCTTTTTTCTTTTTAAGATTTTATTTATTTATTTGACAGAAAGAGATCACAAGCAGGCAAAGAGGCAGGCAGAGAGAGAGAGGAGGAAGCAGGCTCCCTGGTGAGCAGAGAGCCTGGTGCCTGGTGCGGGGCTCGATCCCAGGACCCTGGGATCATGACCCGAGCTGAAGGCAGAGGCTTTAACCCACTGAGCCACCCAGGCACCCCTCGAATGCTTTTTTCTTGTGAATCACTAAGACATTGGTAAACTGAGGGGAGACTCCTGCCCTGCAGGACTGGGGTCCCTATTAGTTCACCATTTGTGTTTCCTTCCCTTAGTTTAGGACAGCTGGGAGTGCCTGAGGAAGGCCACACCTATCCCACCCGGGAGTGGGGAGCGCAGGGGTTGGCCCGTGTCAGCTTGTGCTCTGTCCTCTGCCTGCCTTCTGCTCCCTCATCGGGTGAAATCACTGAACAAAATTGCTAGGGCACTGGAAAGGGCCCGTGCGAGTGCCGGGCCCTGAAGCTTAAGGTTCTTTGGTTTCAGGGCATGTCCCTTCTACACACCCCCCACCCAGTGGTTCTGGAACTTTAGTGTGCTCCAGTGTAGTCTGAGGGAACTTGTTCAAAATGCTGGCTCACAGCAGTCTGGGGTGAAGGCTTCGGGTGTCTTTTTTTTTTTTTTTTTTTTTAAAGATTTTATTTATTTGTCAGAGAGAGAGAGAAAAAGAGAGAGATCACAAGTAGGCCGAGAGGCAGGCAGAGGCAGAGGGAGAAGCAGGTTCCCTGCCGAGCAAGGAGCCTGATGTGGGACTTGATCCCAGGACGCTGGGATCATGACCTGAGCCGAAGGCAGCCGCTTAACCAACTGAGCCACCCAGGCGTCCCTTCGGGTGTCTTTTTAACAAGCTCTCCAGGGACTTTCCTCTGATTCAGGCAGTAACATTTCGCCAAGCCAGGACTGAGAGCACCTCTGACCCCAGGAAGAGCACCTCTCCTCTACCCTCCTTCCCAACCCCTCCTATTGGTCGTGCATTGTATCAAAGTTTGGTGGGGCTCACCATTGCCTGGAGAGCTGGTAGAGCAGCCAGGAGTCCTATCAAGCTCTCAGTCGATGCCGATGCCGGCACCCGCCGAAGCCGGCGTTGGGCTCTGGTTGTTGTTCAGCCTTTGTTTGCCCGGCCAGTCTCTTGCTTCTGCCTGCCATTTCCACCCTGCACCCCAGGAGGCTAGTCCTCCTCCTCTCCATCTCTGATCCCTGACCCACAGTGCGGTATAGTCCTTCCCGTAGTCTCCTCCGTATCCCTCATCCGACCCTAATCACATCCCTCCTGGAAGTTTTCTTGTGGCTATTCCATTTCATCCTTTCCCTGGAACCTTAGTTTTGGGTGGGTCCTCAGAGGTCACTTAGCATGGCTTCCCCCCACCCTGCCTGCACTGGGCAGATATGGGGGCGCCAAGGGTAGAGGAGAGGTACTGAGTGCTGAGGACCAAGCAGGCAGGGACTTGGCCTTGACCAGCTTTTCCTCCTTCACAGGGGAAGAGGCTGCTGGGGGTGACAGGCTCATCCATGAGCGGGACCTGGCCTGGCTGCAGCAGGCAGATGGTGAGCACTTCCCTCTCCTGCCCACAAACTCCTCTGGGATGTTGGGTCCTCTGGACAGGCCTGTGGTCCACACCAGGAAGGGAGTTCCCTCCTCACCACGCCCAGACTCTGTCATCCACCCCTTAACAAGCCCCAGATACCAATCCCCAGTCTCATGTTTCTTCCCAGTGGTGGTGGCCGAAGTGACCCAGCCGTCACTGGGTGTGGGCTACGAGCTGGGCCGGGCTGTAGCCCTCAACAAGCGGATCCTGTGCCTCTTCCGTCCGCAGTCTGGCCGAGGTGAGCGCTCCAAGCCCTGGGTGGGCCCTCCTCTCCCCCAGCTTTCTGCACACCCAGCCCTGGAGGGCTCTGAGGACAGTGCCTACCCTGGAAACAGGACAGGGACAGGGAAGGGAGCGGAGATGGGGAGCTTCACCTCCCTCCGCCCTTCCTTCCCAGTGCTTTCAGCCATGATCCGGGGAGCAGCAGACGGCTTGAGGTTCCAGGTGTTGGACTACGAGGAGGGCCAGGTGGAGGCCATGCTGGATCGCTACTTTGAGGGTGACCCTCTCTAGCAGGTGGCTGCCTCCCCTGACCCAGCTGCTTGACTTAACCCCACTTTGTTAATTCTTCTCTGCCCTCGTACCCCTCCTACCTCTTAGCCCCAGTACCAAATTAAAAGTTATGTTTAAAATTCTACCTCTGTCTATAGGAGTGATGGGGCAGGACAGGTCCTCAGGATTATCCTTTTCTTTCCTGCTTCACTTCAAGATGTAGAGAGATCCATTAACATTCTGTAGGCCCCAAGAGAGAGTACTTCCTAATGCCCTCAGACTCCTGCGAGGAACATTCAAGAGTTTGGAGGAAGGCTGGCCCGGGGTGGGGTGGGGTGGGGTGTTTCTCGGCCTCCTCTGCCACTGGACGGGGTCTGGAGCAAGTGGGCAGGCCTGCACCTGGCCCTGGACCATGGAAACTTTCATTTCCCCTTGTCAGCTTAGGTCAAATGAGTCTGCTTTGGGCCTTCCTGAGAACACAAACGTTTGGAGGTCCAAAAGAAAAGTGAAGAATGAGGGTTGGGGGTATGTAGAGGGAGCGGGGAGCTGACACTAGCCTTTGGGGATGCAGCTGCACAGCCTGCTTCCAGAGAAGTACGTGGAAAAAAAGTTTATTCAGTAAACAGAAGGTACTACAGACACTGGGAATCGCCTCCCCCAACGATGGCAGGAAGGGACAACCTCACCCCTCAGCCCCCAGGACTCTGGTGTGGCTCCAGGTGTTCCCTATGTCCTGCCCCTCAGTCATAGGCCTCATCATCCTCTTCCTCGTCACCGAAGAAGAAAGTGTCTCGGTCCAGGTTCTCAGATTCTTCGTCATAGGAAAAGCTGTCGTTGTCCAGCTCCTCATCAAACTCATCCTGCTGCCACTCAGGGACATCATCCTCATCATCGTCGTCCTCCTCCTCCTCATCCACCTCCAGCCCTGGGGACCCCTGAGGCCTGGGGAGGGAGGGAGCCACAGTCAGCCCTGTGAAGCCACACCTCTCCCAGGCCCCTGTGGCTGCTCCGTCCACCCTACTCACTGACTGCCAGGCACGTTGGATCCTTTTGCCTCTTGGACCTCTAACGATGGGCTCTGCAGACCGACCCGGAAGTCCTGGCGAGGAGCCAGGGAGATGTGGGAAGTCAGAGAGTAGAGGAGGACCTGGACCTCTGCCCAGCATTCCTTCACCCACCGTTCTCTGCCGGCCTCCCAGGTGCAGGTCCCTTGCTCAGGTGCTCCCACCTCGTCTCCCTCCCTCATCCTGAGACTTCACGGCCCCAAGTCTGTGTGTCACAGAACTTGGGCAGTCTCTGAGGACACAGGTCGTTCCGGCGAGGCACCCCACCTCCGTGCTTCAGGACCTAACAGTGTCTGTTCCTGTCCTGTCTGCCCAAGTTATTTACTCCTCTGTGAGCTCCCCAAGGGCAAGACTCCTCGTTTAGACTAACATCAGTGTATTAGAGCCGGGAAGAACCTTAGTGGATCCCCATTCCAACATCCCACTTGGGAAGTACTGAAAAGTTCCCAGGGGTTCTGATGAGCGAGCATCACAGCAAATACCCTTGCTGTGGGCTATTGGGTAGCACTCGCCAGGCGGGACGGAGCCGCAGCTGCATCCAGTGGGCAGGCCTAGGAGCTGGGTGCCCAGGTCTCCAAACAGCTGCCTTTCCTTTTGGAATCCCCCCCCCCCCCCCCCCCCGCCCAGGGCAGGGGCTGTGCCGGGCCCAGGAGGCCCCAGGCAGGCCTCGCACCTGGGCAGAATGTTGCAGGATAGCCAGCAGCCTCTCCTGGATCCTCCGGAGCAGCTCCAGGCCCGTGCTGAGGCAGTCGGAGCGCAGCAGGCGCAGGGACGAGCCCAGGTCTCCACACCGCAGCAGCGTCTCCTCTGCAGAGGGGGCAAGCCACAGGGGCTCCCTCCCTCCTTTGCTTCCTTCAACTCCTTCCTTAGACCACCTAAGTCCTACCCGCACCTACCAGGCGGGGTTCTAGACTAGACACTCATTCTTGTGGGGCCTCCATCCCCACAAGATGGGATGCAGGGAGCAGATGGTAATCTAGTGGGCAGGTGAAGGCCTGCGCCCTTAGGCACCTCATGCCAAGCACCCCATGCCTTCATACCTGAAGTATCGCTGGTAGTGATCAGGCTGGGATGAATGAGGAGGTGGAGGACCGCCCAATGGGGTAGCTGGGCGGGGGGGGGGGGGG